CACAATCTGTGTGGATTACACAGACCTGTCACTAAACAAGACACATTATATGAAAGAAGGCCAGAAAATGTTGGGAAGCTAAAAACTACATCAAGTATTTGAAAATAATGGCTAATGTGTGCTTACTTAGACCCTTCATTTTAAACATCAATGAATGTGAGTGGCGGTGTTTGGCTAACAGGAATTTTGCTTACTGTACGGTGTTTGTAGCATGCACTACACCTGCAGAGAGGCACTTCACAATCCCTCAGCCATGAATGAGATGGGACAAATAACCCAATCAGCGTTCTCTAGTTCATTGTTCCTCTGCCACCCCCGGTGCCTGTCAGGCTTGCAGAGATAATTGTGAGAAATCAGATTTGCTCTCTTAGAATATCTGCTGTTCATCATTTAAACCCTTTCCCCCTGTGCCACCACCAGAAACACGTTCCCTCATCCCTCGATCTCTCAGTATGGGAGTGCTTCCGCCTCCTCCTGCCCTCATTTACCTATGGTGCCACCAAAACTTGTGCAATCGTATTTTTTGATAACACAACCAGCTGTGCTTTGACCTGCACACTTGTGTTCTTGAAGCAAGGCCTGGTAGATCTAACTTGTGAAGTTACTACTTTGATTGACATAGATTTTCCTGACAGTTATTTAATAGCACTTCATGGTACAGCTGTATGAATGAATGAAAATTTGGAGTTTGTGTCCCAGGGAGTGTGCAGCTGTGACCAGCATGCAGAAATGTCCGAACCTGCCTCCCTATTGTGTCTCAGTCGGAAGAGTCTATTTATACGCTCCATGTGAGCTCTGAAAATATGGGATAACAAGTTTACAGCCTCGATGTCATCCATTATATACAATTTTACTTTCTGATTTGTGTCAAAGAGACAAATAGCATCAAAACTTGGAATAAACTTTCTTTCTCCTATATAGAAATGGAAAAATAAAATCCTTTTACTGTGATGTGCAAAATGCAAAACCAGTGGCAATGATTTGCAAAGCTTTCCAATTAATTACAATATTGTCAATTACATTATTGTTCATATTATTAATAATATTACTAATTGAAATAGAACATTTAACAGAGAACATTTAAAATGTGGAAACAAATATTCATTGTTTTCATTTTTGGCTCCTTTGTCTTCTTCTTTTATAATTCCTCAAATGATTTTAACATGTGACGCCTACAGATTACAGACGTGTCCATTGAGCACATCTCCCACTACCAAATACAAGCAGAAAGTGAAGCATTGATGGTGCCTTCACATGCTTTCAATGCCTAATGCACTAATGCTCCTCCATATGATTCTAGATGCTCTCGTTTGAATTGTTCAGTGAAACCCAACTGCAAGATCATTCTTCTGCTTAGAGAATACTACTACTACTACTACTAATAATAAATCTTGTAGCACGACAAAGTTAATAAATGTAAGAATTTAACAGTTGTTTAACAGAAACTGTTAAAATGTACTTGTTATTTTTCAGGCATATAATAATTTGAATTCAGTAACAAACTGTTACTGACAAAACAGTTTTTATTGCCAAATTTGAGTGGCCACACTGGACTCCTCAGAGAAGTCAGAAATTAATCAAACATAACACGTAATCATATTTTTTCTGTTCAGGAATGCAAGTAGTAATAATTGTATTTTGACATCTTAATTAAAAAAAATCATCTTCAGCTTTTTGCGAAATAGGAGATTTGGAAATTGTTTAGTAGTAACCGATTTCTCTAACATTTATTACAGTAGTTATATATATACTTTGCTCATTTCCTCTTCTCAGATTAGCCTGTTGTTGTATTTGTGGAACAGTGTTGCCAGCAGGGATGTTGCTGACTGCCCTCTGGTGGATAAACTAAGCAATGTCAACACTCATAACTTTGTTGAAGGGTGTTTTTCCTCATCTCTACTTTACTTTTTATCAATTTCTTTTATTTATCAGGTTTTATAAATTCCGATATAATATTGGCTTGTTAACAAAAAAACAAACAAACACCCCCCCCCCCCCCCCCCCACCCCCCCCCCCCCCCCCCCCCCCCCCCCCCCCCCCCCCCCCCCCCCCCCCCCCCCCCCCCCCCCCCCCCCCCCCCCCCCCCCCCCCCCCCCCCCCCCCCCCCCCCCCCCCCCCCCCAAAAAAAACAAAAAAAACAACAACAACCACAATAATCACATCTCTAATTCTCAACACTTGATACATTATCTTTGTACTATTTTCAGTGAAATATGGACTTAAAATAATAAAATAGTCACTTGATTCTGTTTTTTGTTTACATTTTACACAATGCAATGCCTTGACTTTTTTTTGTTAAAAATAGGGTTGAATGTGTAACTTAAAAAAAGGCAAGATATGTGTGTTGAAAGCCCCACTTTTGTTTGCTTGGAGATAAGCTGCCTGTCAGTGAAAGTGATTGTAGTTTCTTTTTGAAGCCCTAAGGGCCTCAAGAAGTCGGTCACACAGATATGAATCATCTAGGAAAATGCATCACATTAGTGACTTGTAATGTATTCAGATTAATTTGAATAATATTCCTGCCTCTTTTACAACAGAAAAACACTGCTGCATGCCAGCTAATACCAATTACTACAATGCCAATTTGGTAGATGTACAAAAATGATCCTAATGGATGTGCAAATGCAATCTTTTGGTCATTAATTGTGTGTTGCTTTATCAATTTAAGGTGGCAATCTGTAGAAAGTGTTTCTGATCTTAAATCACTTATGACCCCTCCCGACATTGCTGCTCTGAGCTTTCACACGCCTCGCTCCTATTGCTACAATGCCAGTTCTCTGTAACACTATTAATATTTTATGCGATCACGAGCTTCCATAAGCAAATTTCAGTCCCTAGCAAGTTGAGCCAAAGCATGATTAATTTAGTATTTATACCCCGACAACCCTTTAAACAACACAAGGCCCCCGGCCACAAAGCAAGGCACAGTTTGAAACAAAACTAGCAGCCTCTAAATCATAATCAGCACAGTCATTCAGGATTATTTGAGTTTGGGGACTCATTTTTTTCTGTAACAGCAGCTGCAGTTCTGGTGTGGAATCAGTGGGTTTGTGGATGGAAGCCACAGACAAGACAAAACTTTTGTTTTTGTTAGATATGGCTTTCCATCAGTGCCAGTTTTTTTCAGAAATATTGCTGTATTAGACTTAACAAAGCCCTGTGACGTCATCTGTTGACAGCAGATTACAGGTATCACTCTCTCAGAAAACACAGAATCAAGACACAGCTGCCCCGAAACCGCAGATCAGAAAGAGCTGATCCTTTAGTCACTGTGCTGAGATTGCAGCGCTGCAGCTAATCTGTTTACATATGAAAACAAGGCAACACCTGGAGCTGAACTTTTGCCTTTTGGTTTCACTGAAACAGAACTGCTTTGTTTCTTTGTTTCTGTAAATTTAGACCTATGTATGTGTTTTTTCTTCCATACACTCTTTACCTTACATCATACCGACAAGCCTATTTAAGATCTGGTCATTAAGATCTCAACTCAATGATATAGGATAAACAAGGGTGATAATTACCTGTTATTCTTCAATTTCACAATATTTGTTATTGACAAATACACATTACCATCCACATATCAATAACTAATTAATAACATACAAATTAAATGTAATTAAATGATAACTGATAAAATGTGATTTTTAAAAAAATATTGTTTGCATGTATGTATGTATTTCACATTTTAACTTGGCATAGAGAGATGTGAGTTTAACTAAAAGTCCTACTTAGGACCCTGAAACTGACCTCACCTGAAACTGTTGCAAGTCGCAGAAGTAAATCTATGTTTTCATGTTACAGGGCTAATTATATACACATTTACGTTTATATTTAATGATTTGATATTTATACATTTACACATATTATTTTAAATCAGTAATAATAAATTGTGTTGAATCTACCTAGTTTATTTTTCCATATTTACCTAATTGTAGGACTTCCTGGCTTCTCATTGGTTAGTGAAGTTACATGGGGAGTCTAAACAAGGTTGTGTTGTTAAGTGTAGCAAGAGGAAAGGTCTTCATCTTGCTGTTTTCTAATAACTTAGAGAGATTTAGTACCATATAATGAACCCTCATGTTACACTGTCATCAATTTATTTAAACCTGTGCTTCTCCTACTGGGAAATTTCTTAATTCCTTCAATAGAAAAGGCCTCTCAGTCACAATGTAATCTGATCATACTCATATTTCAAAACCTGTATGTAATGCATGCTTTGAGGCCAAATCTAAGACACAAGGATAAGTACATAAGAAGTTGCATGACTAACAGCTAAAGTGAAAGCTAGTCATGTGCCTGGACACTACAAGTTGCTCTTTGATGCCTTACCTGCAGTCTTCTCATCCCTGCAAGGATAACTGTGTGTTTCAGTACGTCATTCAGAATCTAATAAGACTACACATTAACATGATCACTGCACAGTTCAGCTTCATTAAAGATAATCTCTGCGCAGACTCCTTTGGACAGGGCAGGCCACGCCCCCTGTATTCTCTTCTGCTATTGATCAGTACAGTGATTTGCAGCATGTAATCCAATGCTCTGTGACAGGCTGTAACTGAGGTTAAAGATGGCAATTTAATTATGTGTCAGAGGTCATATTAAAGGCTGACCCCTTGACCCATTACCAAGAATGATAGTGATAACCTTTTGTTATTGTTTAAACTAAGCAACATAACAGGCGAGTAGGAGGACGCAGTAAAGTGATGCAATAAATTGGATTTTCAGAGGAAATGAGAATTCAAATGTTATATTATCAGCTTTTGTTGTCTGACTTTTTTTTTTTACTAGCACTCTACAGTGGATGCATTGGAATAATACAGTTTTACAAGCTTGTTGCATTATTTATAAAAAAAAGTATGTGTGAATATCTTGCATTTGCTTGGTAATTTGGAAATCTGTTCTACATCTGTTTCTTTGTGTTTGTCATTTAGGAATCCATAAAAAGTATTATCTGAAAGAAATAAACATCACACAAAATGTTGAAATGAAAGACATCGCTCAATAATTGTAATCACAGCTTTAATTAAATGTACATTTATTGGTTACCATCACAGTTTTAAGCCACACAATACAACTGTGTGAACATAACTGTCTGGCTCTGATGTCACAATCAGGACTGGATAGCTTAATTTAGCAGTGAGACTAGCGAGAAAAAAAAAAGAAAAACTCAACCCAAAACAGAAACAGTCGGGCACATAACATCTGCTACACTTTAGTGCCTAAGTGCATTACACACTCTGATAACCATCTGTGTGTGCTCCTCCTATCAGGCAGGCTTCAGGTCATCCCTCACAGCAGATGAAGAAACAGCTTCTTTGCAAAAAACTGTAACACTGCTGAACTCAGATATTTCCACAGTGAATGAGAGGCCTGTGTGTACCTGTCACTGGAGTGTGGACAATATTTACTCATATGCTGCTCTAAGCTGCTGGTTATATGCAGTGTCATCAGTTCATGGCTGTCCACCAGAACATGAGGGCACTTTTGCTGCTGATACCTTTGACACCCAACCATTATCAGTATTTGTACTTTTACACAAAAAAATATTCATTCATCCCCAACATTCATTAATATTATAAAATCGAAATACTCTGTTTGAGGATGCAGTGTCATTGTGTTTGCTCATTGGTAATGCATTTCAGCAGCTTACTGTTGAGGTGTTCACAGAATTGTTGGATTTTGTTGGCTTTAGGTAGAGCCGGACTGAGCTGTGACTGTGATTTTAAGTCTTAACGAGAAGCTAAGTGTTTTGGTAAAAAAAACTGAAATGAAATGGAAATGTTACAGTAAGTTACTGAGAGCCTCACAGGTTAGGTCTGCTTTTATCTGAGGGTAACCAACACTAGAGTTACACGAGTGGTAGATTAGATTTAACTGCTAGATTAAATGAAACATCACTCTATGAAGTAAGGCTTCACTGAAATAATATCCATTCAGAGACCAACAAAGACCGTGTCTTTGTATTTTGCAGCCGGGATGGTTTTAAATATCTCAATTAATGTCTCCTGTAAATTCCGTGTACTTTTTTTTTTGATAAAACAAATGAGTCTCTGACTTGTTTATGATGCTGTGAATGAGTACAAAGTTTTTATGTTGTGTCATTGGGCCCTTGGGTGCGAGCACTGTCTATAGCCAGCCACATATGCAAATGATTGGGCAATTGTAGATATACAAATATGTACCCATGGTCCGCGCGGCCTAATGGCCTCCCTCCCTCTGGCTGGCTCAATGGCTCATTTAGATATCTGCTTGGTTTATTATGTGAATAAGTCACGCCTGGCTTGTTACGACCCTCCAGGTTCCTGTTTCTGCTGTGTAGCTGAGATGTGTGGCGCTCAATTAGGCTGCCTGGCTGGCAGAGTTAACCCTTTGCGCCAGATAAGCTGTGTTTTTCCTCAGCCATATGGGGTTGGTACATTTTTTGGAGGGGGTGGGTTCCAGGCTGGGATCAAAAGATCAATCCTAATACACTGCTACCAAGCTGACCTCTCAGATGTAATAAAGGCGCCATCTTTCACCCTTGGGGCCTATTCAGTGCCTCCCACCCCATGAACAAACCTGGTATCTTTAAATTAGCTGACTGGCTTGCCCTGCAGGTAATTGCATTAGTTTATCAATGTTCAACACAATTTATTACTTTACTCTAGCACCACTAGGATCCTGGTGTTAATGTCCTCTGTGAGGAGACGGGAAAGAAGGCCTTTGTGTTCGAGAGTACGCGTGAATGTGCGGGTGTCTTTGCAAATAAAGAAAAGTAAACACAATGACACCAAAGAATTCAAATTACTGCTTTATTGCCGGTCATACGTTTTATCTGCGCTGGTATGCTCTTAACAGCGAGCAAGGTCTTAAATGTGCATATTTGGACCATATTATTACCTTACATTTCACTTTGCACGAGTGCACATTCATATTGCATTACCCATGTTATTTATTGGTGACCTTGCTGTTGCCTTTGAGGTGTTGGATCGGTGCCTCCTTCTCCTTTGGTATCCACCCCAACTCTTCTCCACCCTGTCAGTGATCGTTACAGCTCCGGCACTTAAACCTCATACGACAGCAGTCTTATTTGCCTTAATAGGTGCTTCAATCAGATTGTCTTTCATTACACTAAACACAATATTACTGTCTCTACTTTTCAATAGAGTTCTCTGGCCAGAGGCAGCTGTGTGCCTCCCTCACATCTGTATGCATTATGGATCTGTCTGAGGTAATAAACAGACCCTGCTCTTATTCCTGCTTCCTGGTATCATTATTCCTTGCCCCTCAGATGGATTATAGCCCACTGTGCAACATGTAGATGAGTGGCGCTCCTCTGATTGCCTTATGGCCATCAGGCTTTGCATATTTACTGCCCATGAATCACGGTTTGCAGGAAACGCGCAGCACCATATTCCGATCCTCCTCCCTCCTCTACTTTTTATGCTCCGCTTTGTTTTACTCTTTCTCTGTCATTCGCTCTCTCATTTTCAGTTCTTTTTCTTCGTCCGTCTTTCTCTCACTGCTTCCCTCCTTTCGAGTTCTTCTTTCATTGTCTGTCTGTTCCCTTGATCCTGCTCCTTGCATTCCCAGCTGCTTAATTAAAACATGTATTATTAATACGGCTATATCTTTGTCCATCTTTCTTCCCCGTTCATACGACTGCTACATTAAGTGTAAATTGTTTCGCTGTAATTCCCCTTTAATGTCCCTGTTACAATCAGTGTTTCTGGTGTGCAGAGGCAAGGGAGGGCAGAAGAAAAAAAAGAGGGAGAGAGTATGTGACTGGGATCACAGGCTTCTACTGTAACTTAATGTTTGATGTGTGGCTTGCATACTGCAGGCCCTGTAATTAGGTCTGTTTTGCAAGTCAAATGTATATGCTGCCAAAATGCAAAATAAGAGTTAAGAAAAGAAAGTTGCAAGATGTAGCAGGGTATGGTGTGTGTGGGTTGTTCCTACTCAGCCACAGACCCACCTTTAATTTGTTAACACTCATCCTACTGACATAGTTAACATACGTGGACGACCGATGGAGGTATCCAAGAACAATTTACTGTATGAAATTAAATATAACACCAAAATAATAATAGCAAACCTTATTTCTTCTTAAAGTCTTATTACTTATGTAATTAATGTAATCTAAAGAAGAAAAAAGAGTAGCTTTTTTATTATCTGCCAGTATTTTTGCACAGTTTATGTAATATTACTTTCAGATTTACAAATACAAACTACATTGTTATTTATCAGCTTATTTAGCTTTTGTCTATTGAAGTATCACAATTTTTAAAAATAATTTCAATTAAACACTATTTGTCTTGGATTCGTGGATTATATCAGTCAAATATAAAATAACTGAAATAAATATGCAACCCGCCAGCTTGGGGATATAATCTCTCCAGCGTGTACTTGGGACCTCCATTGCATGCCCAAAACACCTTTCGATGAGGAGAAGTAGTGGCTCTACTCTGAGTGACTCCTAAATGGCCAAATGCCTCTATTTCCAACACCCTTGAGAGAAAAATCATTTCTGCTGCTTGCATCCTTGATCTTTCTTTTAAGTTGATACCCAGAACCTGTGACCACAGGGGCGGGCAAGAACACAGATCAACTGTTAAATCACCAGATTCACATTCGTGCTCAGCTCTCTCTTCACCACAACCAACCAGCGCAGTGTCATCATCAGTAGGTGTAATACTTATTTAAACTACTCTTACTTAAACTACTCCATTTGGGGCAGCAATTCAAACCCTGAATCAGTGCTCCACTCGTTGCCAACAGAGAACCACAGCTTCAGACTTGGAGATGCTAATTCTCATCCCATATACTTCACACTTGGCTGGAAAATGCCCCAGTGTAAAACCAACAAAACCACATCATCTGAGAAAAACAGAGATCATATCCTAAAACCACCCTCCACCCTTTGGCTACACCTAGAAATTATTATCCTAAAAGTTATAAAAAGAATCAGAGACAAATGGCAGCCCTGGCAGAGATCACCAACCATGGTTGTACAGGGAATGGAAAAAACTAAACACAGCTAAAGGTAAACACACCATACATGCAGTTATAACACACAGTTTGCCTCATGCCATGCTCAGGGCATGCTGGCGTACGACAGGAGGAGCAAACAGTTGCTTCCTCCCTGTCTGTGTTCCAACAGGAAAGTAACACCTTTGTCGAGTGGATGTTCCAGCTGGACCGTCACATCAGCAGGTGAGTTTTCCATCACTCCCAGGAGGGTCATTGTTGCTCAGATTGGGGCTTGCAAGGTAGCAGCAGCAGCTCTTCTTGTCATGTGTGGCATGACCAGGGCATCTATCTGTCTCTGGAAGATCTGATGACATCTCCAATGTTCTGATAGTTTGGAAAACCTGTGAGTTTTTACATCCTTGATCTTTTTTTTCAGTTGACACCAAGAACGTGTGACCACAGGCAAGAATGCAGATAAGCCCATTCACTTCGACTGTTGAACTTAATAACAACTTTTAGCACCCACAGGTTTAAAGTTTTGCAGTAAATATATCTGCTTTCTTTAGAACGAATCCTCATAACATCTCCAGGTCCAAATTTGAATCTGTAATTTGTTACTCTGTGACATAATGTTTACATTGTGTAATGTTTACATGTTTAGCATACTTACAAAGAAAATAAATTAAGAGGGATCACATCACATCAGCATGATAGTGTTGTCATTGTCAGCAAGTACAGCCTGAGCCTATTCACATTTCCATTACAACTAACTGACATTAGTTGCACCAGCAACCACTGTTGTTTTCACCTACTGTACAACAGATGTTGCATAGTTCTGGAGGGAATCGCCACAGTGGTGGATCTGCAAGTTTGATCTATACCAAATTCCCTTCCTGATGCAATGCTCCAATTTTTCTGGTCTTGGGACCAGCAATGGGAGTATACTATTGGGTTTGCGTCTTGTCCTGGTATTGAACCAGGGATCTTTTGTGTTTAAGGGGAATGTGTTCATCACTACACAGGAGCATGGTTAAATCAAGACAATGGGGATAGGCTGGAGTCTTATTTAAACATACATCACTTTCTGTCAGCCTTTGACGACTCTGATATATTGGATTACTGACCACAATCTTAAAGACTTTATGTTGAAACCAGAGTAAACCAAAATGCTAGAATGGCTGAAGTTCAAGTAGGTGTAGGTGGAAATAGGTGTTTGAAGGTTCATCAAACAGAGTTTGGTGCATGAAGAAATAAGCAATATATATTATTAGTTCATGCACTTTCTGTCCTCTGTCAAAGGCACTTTCCTATATTTTCATCTACCCATTATGTCTAATAAGGTTGTGTTGATGCTTTACCATTTATCTGTCACGGAGTGCTTAGTCTACCATTATTGATTGGAACAGGCCAATTGACTGGGAGAGCGCTGTAAACCAGGCAATTTAAAACCTACATCCTTCATTGTCACATGATGGGCGCAGAATGAGATCCTAAGAGGCAGAATGAGTGCAGTGGCAATAAATAAAGTGAAGAAAATATAATCTGGCAGGGTGACATCGACTGTCAATAAGAGCGCCATCTCTAAAGCCATCAGCGTGATTATCAGGGCAGGGATGATGAGCTGTGGTGTGAGGTACTGCAAAAGCATGGGCCTTGTATCAGGGCCTCTGGTGAGACAGATGTTGTGCGTGAGTAATGGCACAACTATCATGTCACATGGAGGCTCGCCTGCTCCATATAGCGAGTGCGTAACAGGGAAAGAGTGTGAGGGCCTGATAATATCGTAAAACAGTGTTTAAATATTTTAATTTCATTTGTCAGAGGGGCCCCTCCCTTGTACTCCATTACCCTGACAACCATCCTTCATCAGCTGAATGAGTGCATTATTCATTAGCACTAATTATTTTCACATAATGTCTGCCCCGATATATTTAACCTCCACATTACACCCAGGATAATGGCCTTGTAAAATTGAATTGTGAGAAAGAAGTGGAGTTGGGAAGCTCATTTAAAGAACATCAGAGGGAGGAGAAAAAAGAGTGAAGGATGTGCAGGAGGGGCTTTTTGAAGCAGCTGGAGTGGGGTGGGGTGTGGGGGGTTGACAGGAAGAGTGTTAAGCACTTTGGGACATGGAGCCCCAGAAGTGATGGGACATTTGTTCTTGTCTCATTTGCATGCTAAGAGAAGAGCCCGGTGGTTCACTGTTGGGTTGACGAGATACCCAGATGCCCTGTGGGTTGAAGGTGCCCTCCAGCAAGAGAGTTAAGATTAGCTCTCCCTGACCTGACACAAGACCTCAACCATTAATATAAAAACATGTGACCCAGGACAGTCGGAGCAGAGTCTTGCTTTCTTTCGCCTCGATCGCCATCTCTCCCGTCTTAGTCTTTGACTCCAGTCTTTTCCCGTCTTCATCTCCACTTGCACCTCACTTTTCTTTTCTTCATGCATTTTTTCTTCTTCTGCCTTTTTTCAAATCTTCATTCAGTTACTTACCTACATTGACTGACAGTCAGTTCTTTTCAGATATTTTCCCACTGAGAAGTATCAGGATTCCAACTTTGAAACTGATGACCAAAGAAAGTTGTAGTCAGGTATTCATTTACAATTTGTATATTTGTCAATTTGTAAAATATAAACTCAAATAAGGCATGCTGCTCTGCTTGCTTGAGCTGTGATCCCCCCTACCTCACCATATACACAAAGAAAAGAAAAAAGAAACACAACATGGCTTTCATGCATCAGATTAAAAAAAGAAGAAGAAAAAACTAGAAAAGAAAATTCTGTACTATGAAATATTTTAGCTGCAAACTTTGATGAATCAGTTAGGCCCAGAGATGTAAACCACTTTAAGCCAACACTCTCTGTTTTGTATCAAAATGCAATATTTAATTTATAGTTTAAAACACACAGCAATGTTGCTGTAAGCAACTTCTCCTTGTTCACCCTACAAGGAGAGTGGGATGTAAAAATAACCAAACCAAAACAAACAAAAATTACATAAAAAATCTTAAGAGATGGCCTTGTGAAAAACTTTTGTTTCTGCAGACACATGAGAATGATCACAAACAGTCTAAATATCAAACAAATGCATGCAATTCAAAAACTAGAACAACAATTTCTTTTTTGAAATTACACAAAGTATTGTGGGATTAATTTTCTCTCTATCTCAAACTCATCCTCTATCCTGACAAATGTTGTGTTATGTTTTCAAAAGTGGTTGTTCCCTCCCCCTTTATACTGTGACCTGCTCCCATTAAAAGTGCTCTGCTTGATTATGGATCAGATTATGAGTTTTCCTTTATGTTAGTGTCATCAAGTTTAAATTGGACTGAGCTGCTGTTTCACTAATTATTTTTCCTGTTTTCCTTCTGCAGTTTAACTTTGTTGCTTGGAAATCAGCTGCCAATCATAAATATATGACTGTTTCCTGAGCAGGCACAGGGTGGGAGAATGGGGTAGGAGATGCTACAGTCACTGACATTGATCAAAATACGAATGCACAGTGTATGTTTCCATATTTATGGTGAATGGAAGAGGAAAAAAGTTTCACCTTTAGTCTTTTTGCAATTAATGCAAATATTGTTTGATTACTTGAGTTTTTATCCCCACTTCCTAACCTGGGCAGGTGATAGAAAATGCATAACTACAAGGACTGATAGGTGGAGGTCAGTTATTAGAAGTTTGCCTGGAGCTTATTTTGTTTAACTTTTGTTAAAGCTCCTCCAGCCTATGCTAACATCCTATTTAAAACTTTGCAGCACCTAACACTACCTGCCTCTGGTCCATTATATGAATTCAGTATATTCCATAACATCTCAGTGACATACTTCACATCACAACACAGCAAAGTCAATTTTGTGACAAAGCAAAACACATTTTCCTTTTGTTTTTTTCCCTGACTAATGTTGCAAACAGTGACCACTCTCCTCCCCAGGCTATGAGACTGTGAATGCGAGGGTACTGCTTTATATGCTTGATGATGGGTAATTGTAGTTCATTTCAACTGGGGGGAAAAATATATTATTCTCAAGCCTTTCTGTGTACTACCCAGAAGGCAGTGCTCTCTTTGTGTAAAGGATCTATCTCTCTGACATTTAGATTTGCCTTTTAAAGATGACATTTTTCAAAACTGGCATTTCTTCATATGTTTTCTAGAGGCGACAAAATTATCCTTTTAGATCCCAGTCAGAGTGTTCACCTAAGTGAGTAGTTTATCCAACCTTAAATTGTTTGGTTTGTCCTTGGTGATGACGATATTTCATGTAATGTAATGCTGATATTGTGATAATTCTACTTGTCTGTGCATTAAAAGGATCCACACTTAAGAAAAAGAAATAAATAAAGACTTACAAAAAAACCCGTCATATGTAAGGTTACAAGAGTTACCGTTTCCTTGCTGTGTTCATGGTGGCTGAGGTTGGGAGGGTGCCAGAGCTCATCTGCAGAGGGATAAAAAAAGGATAAAGTGCACATTTATCACATTTGTTGTATAACTGTGATTTATATGCGGCACAAATATGGTATATGCCAACAGCTTGATAGGTTTGGATGGTAGCTGATAGTTTTGGGTGTGTGACTGAAGATTAATGGAGTACTACACAGCTATCCAGGAGACACGCTCATCTCTGAATGATTCCTTTGAATCACAGGAGCTTTCCAATTACTGCACTCTAGTGACTCGCAATGAACCTTTATCCATTCTGCAAATGAGCATGCTATCCCTAAATAATTTCCTCTACAAAGATGGTGCTATGCATTATGAAATATTCAGAACTCAATTTTCCGGTTCTATCAGTCTTTGGAAAGATCCATAATTACGCGATAATCCACAATGTAATTCATTTTGGGTACTTGGAGAAACGGAGTTTGCTCCATAGCAAAATCTTTAATATGTTGTTGAAATGGGATGACGCATGCTTTGTGGCTTTTTTAAAGAGGATTTTGTTTGATGATTCCATTTTACCCTTACTTATTTTTTTTTTTTAGACTACCGACATCTTCAAGGTCAGTGAGAAAGTCCAGACTAAGGAGATATTGTAGTGAGACAGCTGGTACATTGATGGGTATTGCTGTTCATAATTACATTACATAAAAGGAACACACAGACAAGATTGAGGACGGGTATTATCAAAAAGTGTAGAACTGCCTAGACACATAAACCTTCTTCACAAGTGGCTATAATATTGCAAGAATGGTAGCTTTATGTTAAAAACTAACAGCCTACCATTACATTAGAGTAATTTCAGAAATGGAACTGTTATAGAACAGCATTAGAAACTGAAAAGAGTAAGATGGTGTTGGATTATTGCTTGTTGGCCAGAGATCTGAGGTTAAAGATCACTTAATGTGCACTGTAACTCTATCCTCAGGTAAGGCATGCTTAAGAAATATTGGCATTCAAAAGGTGAACAGAGCAGACTATCATTTGGCCAGCGTGGTCATACATGTGAGTGCGCAGTGATCCACAAATAAGAACAAGCACATTATCTGTACAGTCATTTCCATTGGAATGTGTACCATAAAGAGCAAATGTGTGCTCTACATTCCTGTGCAGCTGCTGCCACATACTTGTAGAAGTTTATAATATATAATACAATTTAGACAGCACCATCTCACCGTAAGGTGTTCAATAAAGTGGGTAATAAAAACCTTTACCACTGGCTTTAAAACGAATAAAGTTAAATGGAGCCACTGACATTTTTAGTAATGCATTATTGTAAGTCAGCCCTGCAACTGCAAGAGGCAGGGTGTGTCAAAACAGCTGTCTGTCACTGCGACAGAAAGCTCGGCGAGACAACGTTAATGACGCGCTTGTTAAAATGTGATAACAGTGCTGAGCTTAAAGGCCAAAGCTGTCACAGCAGGAGAAGAGAAAAGTGTAGCATAGTGGAGAGAAGTGTGGGAGGCTGCTGGAGTTCAAAGAACTCAATGCCAGCTGTACAGGTGAGTCAGGCGAGTCTCTCTTTCTCACTCCTTACTAAAAAAAAAAAGTTAATTTAAAGGTTTTCATGATTTACTGTAATATCACACATAATCATTTTTCAGTACAAAATATATAAGTGATATATTATAATGGCTCTTCTTTTTGGCAATGACTAATCAAAAACTGACCCTTAATGTCAGAGTGAAAAAACATCTCCCCAAGGTGAAATACAAGTACAAGTATAAAATGTAAAATTCATATTTAGTCCCTTCAATATGTCAGTGGACAGAAGCTAAATCACTGCTGTTTCAGTCACTTGGGTACAGCATTAAGTTCTCATTCAGTGGTCAAAGGATTTCACTTGACTGTGCTACACCTGTGTAAGACAAAAGAACACTCCACATTGCCTGGAGTACGGCTAAAGGTTAAGCGGCAGATTGATTTTGTCAAATGTAGCTGTAAATCTTCTAGGTGAGGCTTTAAAACTGAATAAGTCTGCAAAACGACTTTTGAAAGACTGTGTGACCTCAGTGAGGAGCTAAGACAGTCAGCGTACCTGTGACAGTGTTTTTTATTTACAATTATTTGTGCCCCTCGTCCCAACAGCTTCCTGTCTCCACCTGTTCTTTTTTCCTCCAGGTCTTGGCGTCACTAAAATAGGGAGAGCGTAATTAATGAATTGCTTTCAGCTGTCCTGCCAGCCTCCACTGGCCCTCCACCCCACTGCACCACCCCTTCCCTGCAGTGGAGCCGCAGATTACATCTCGCCACACACCTCCACCTCTACTGATGCTGGGGACCCATCCGGCTAAGCCTACTCACCTACACCCCCCCACCAGTGGGAGAGAAAATTGGCCAGAGCAATCTGTGCCCCTGGCCTATGGATTACCTTCAACTTAAAGGGCTGCAAAGCCAGATATCACAGGTTGATACGGGTGTTGGCATCCATACATAAAGCGGTGGAGCCTCTACAGCGGGGTGTGATCTGAGCAGGCGGTTAATGACCGTCCCAGGAGGTAATAGCGAAAATAGTTGATGTCGGCATCAAGTAGGCAGCAGCATATGCAGCCTACTTTGGCTTTGAGGAGGTTGAGGTGAAATATCTCTGTGGCTCCTCCCCTGTCCGACCGCACCACCTCATAGTGGACGTCAACCACTCAGCAACAGTAATTTTGAGCTGAAAGAAGGGAGCAGTTGCCTAAGTCTAGTCCCTCTGTTGTACAAGAGCTCCTGACGTTGCTGGGCTGCAACCTTTACTCTGTGTGTTTTTTTCCCTTAAACGTTATCTGCAGCAGCACTACTGGATGCCGCTGAATGTCCCCATGCACACAACTGACCACCCACTCTGACTCCAACAATGCATATTGTTGGCATCATTCTGGTACGCTGTATTTCCCTCCTGGTCAGGAAGAGGGTGTTGGAGTCCTGGCAATGAAGAACACCTGGCCAACATCCATCAAAGGACACTCCCATCACAATCCTGCCATGGTACTGATGCAGCCCTCCATGGGTCGGGAACAGCGCCTACCGCTGCCGGGACCTGTGGAGACAGATCGGGGAGAAAGATGTTAGTCGGCTACTCCACTGGGGTGGAGGTGGGGAGCCTGTTACTTGGAGCTGGGACTGGCCTCGTCCCGCTGACCCTCAGCCTTCTTTGACCTCTGACTGTAGAAACAGTGTTGGAAAGTTGAATTCAAATGAAATATATTTGTATACACACTAAATGGCAAACCTGTAACCTGCATTGTTTCCATATGTTTGCTTTTTAAGTTAGATATTACATTACTAATGTTTCCCACATTGTCTTTGAAGTTTTGCTGGATCTTGTCACCCCATGATGTGAGTGAGACTATGCAGGTTGTGGAGGATTTGGTCCCTCAGGTGCTCCATGGGATGGTGTAAACCTTTGTTCTGTTGGCAGCTCATGGCTGTTTGGCTGAAGAGGGAAACTGTGGCTGTTTACATGCACAGGGTTAATTTTACTGACCAGACGGTATTTCCCTCCCCCACATAAACCCAGGTGCAGATGCCAGTAAGACTTGAGAGAGAACAAACTGATATCATGCAAAGTTCAGGAAGACAGGGAAGAGGGATGAGGAATAGCCTGCTCAGGTGAGGACCAGAAGCCAACCTAGAGGGATGCAAGGCTGGTTCAGCTGATGGCCTTGAGCCTGAAGGCAGACTGAGGCAGGCTGATCAGAGATGGGCTGATCTATTAGTACCTCATTTCCACCAATGTAGTGTCTAATGTACAGGTAGTTCCATATATTTCCAAAGAAAACTAAAAAGCCGATGTGTCTCACTGACATCATTGGCCACAGGAGGTGCTACAATAAAAAAGTCACCAACGATTGGAAGATGTAACCAATGGATTCGGTCTACTGCAATTTGTCTTTGCATGTAAATGATCCAGTTGGTTCTCAAATATAGTAAAATTGAGCCAGATCTCAAAAGGCACCAAGTCAGAACCAGCTCAACACTGGCATCACCACCATATTGGTGAAAAACTACTAGGTATTAAAGTGGGAGGTATTAGACAGGGAAGAAGTACTGGAAACACAGCTCAGATGGGACCTGCATCAGGATCAGGGGAGTCAGCGAAGCAATAATGAGAATGACTAGGAATTGAGACTAGGAGGCAGTCGCACTGACTGATAACAGAGACCTAGCAGAGAGGTTTCAGCAGAACCTAAGCACAAGTATAGGTCATCACTTAAATGAACCTCATAAGGCTCTGCCTTAAAAACAGCAGCCTCAAGTCCGGCGTTAAGAAGAAAAATACCAACAGCACAGAGAGAGAGACGTGCCAGGTGCAGGAAAAGTCGGGCTGACCCAGGATAGGGACAGAGGTTGCAGAAACTGATGTGACTGGTGTAGTGGTGTGGTGTGCTTTAGAAATATAGCAGTCGTGCAGTTAGAGACAAGATTAAAGGGAAGATCATCCAAATTTAATCAGGTGAGGCTTTTTATGGGCAATTTCACTAAACTTTTCTTATTTTCTTTTTACACTTGTTAAAGGTGTTTAAATGAAATAGGGATGTAGGGGTAGCAAATACTTTGAAAACAAGTCGTTTGCATGTTACACTTATTTTGAGATCATGGGCCTATTCTCCTGCTTTGTGCCAGGAATGCCACATTCAATTTCCTTTCATTTATCATCTATAGATTAAATTCAACCAGTGTTTAGTGTGCAGTATACCTGCGTCTGTCCTTAACAACATTAGTCATTTCCCTTTCGAAAAAAGCCATTTTTGTCAGTGTAATCAAGAGTCGATGTCCCTTTTATTCTCAACACCGTTTGGTGATGAATTCCCTGCAAAGTATTTCCGAATACTTAGCCCAAGGAGGTGTAATTTAAATAATATCAGTCAATGTGCTGCTGCCAGAATAAGAATTATGTCCACACCAATATCTCATGTGACACAGCAGAGGAAAGACTTTCCCCCTGAATAACAAAAGTGCAATAATTCACTCAACATTATTATCAACCTAATTATAATAGGAAAGCTAGCTGAATCCCCTTTCCTGTTTGAATTTCGGAGCAAATAGGCAAAATGATCAGTTATTTTAATTTTGCTCAAAGGGGGTGACGATTAGTCACATCGAGACAACAAAGCTATCGTGTTGCTTTTTTAATGACCACTGAAAGTTCGTAAAATTGAGGCCACAAACTAAAAACACACAGTTTGACAATATTTTCTCCCTGGTTTAATTTAAAGGTCACATGGACCATATAAATATTAAACATTCATATCAAATTTACCATGGTACGCAAACTCACCACACACTAAGAGTCATCACATTTCGCAGGCATATTATCATAATTATATCACTATAACAAATTTAATGAGAGCAATCAGCTCTGAACAATTTTGCCTCCAAGGAAGCAGAGGTCCCAGTCAGTCACAGAGCTACTCCTTGGTCATTCTCTATTAATTTGCACAGTGTGTTCTCTGGGTGTCAGGGTCCTGGCAAAGTCGCTCCCCAGTGACTCCTACCTCCAAGTCAGCTGCACAAAGGGGGCCCTAATTAGACTCTCATGTGTATTTAATGGACCTGCTGCCTTTAGTTCTGTGAGACAGAAAGTGCCTGATGCTACAACCTCTGTATGAAGAACCCTTCACACACTTTGGAGAGGGACATGTCAAGTAATATCTGTGTGTGTGTGTAAGAGAGAGACAAGGAGTGTGTGCTGAACAGGACCCAAACCTGAAGCCAAACTTTTAGAGTCCAGTGAGTCTAAAAGTATTATACATGCATCATGCATACCTTCCTGACCTTACGTTGATATTACTTTAAAAAGAAGATTTTTTTTTAAACCAAATAATTTTTTTCTTTTCCCTCGACCTTACAGAACCTCAGTATTTAGATCATTTTTAAAAAGTTGTAACACATCCATTTCCACTTAAAATTGCTTTCATATTTAAATTTCATTTCAATGGCAAATAGTTTATACTTCTATGTCAGACTATGTCTTTCAGGATCTTTCATTTACAGTGTGCAAATCACAAAACCCTGTCATTTTTTCATAAACACCTCTGCAGGAAAAGGAGTTTGAGTGAGGCATGTGGATCATCCAGACTAATAGGGGCACTGTGAAACACAATTCTGAAATTGAAATTCTGTTCATCCAGAGGTATATATCTCAAAAGTTGACAAATAAAACAGACAAAACTGGTACAATCCATTTTTGGCTAAGAATGATTTTTTTCTGTACTTAAAGGGAGCTGAAATGCATTGAAAACAATCAACAATCATCACATTTTCAGCCTTGTGGATGGGAGTGGGACTGCTTAACTCTAACCCATTTGAATTTCCTCTCTTTCAGCGTGGCCTGTTCTAATGAGGACCGACATCTGGACCAATCTCACAATACGGGGGCTTTGACGAATGTGACCCCTGTGGTCAGTCCTTGCCCCTAAACCCACCAGGACACATAAAGCCGTAGCACAGCCCCTGTTAAAGGGCTGCACTGGAACATAAATCGGCCCTGGCGTTTTTTAACTGTCCAATTTGCATGGCCCCTACACAAAGAGGCTAACGATGTTTTACAAGACAAACATGCATAAGCGCAACTGCAGCAACACAAACATGCATGCAGGTAGATGACCTGGTTGAGCTTATTAAATATCGTAGAGCTCCGCGTAATGTGGAGGATGCACAGAATGCCTGTTGTGCGCACAGGAAAAACATTTGAGCTTGTTTGATACGATTGCTTTGACGTGGCTTTAGCCTGAAATTGCAAGCAGAGCTCATGGAAAGCTGCATTGTCCGACAGAGCAATGCGAGTCTTTGAGATAGAAGAAAAAATGATTTAAAAGTTAGTGAGAAAGAAACCACAAAGCCAGAGAAAACAGAAAAAGAGCGAGACTGCCGATGGGAAAAGGCAAGATGAAGAGGGTGGTGAGATGGGAGTATGGGTAGTTTTATCTGGTGGGCAGGGAGACTGTGGCGGCAGGATCTATCTCTGTTAGAGAGAACATGGGCCTGTTATTAAAGCCATTTATCACTGGCTGAATATTCTCCCTTTAATAGGCTCTGTCGTTAATTACCCAACTTTGTCAAGATGGGGAGTCAAGGGCTCTCTGTTTTCTCGGTCTGTACACAGACAGGCTCACACGGACACACACACACACACAGAAACGCATGCTTGAACACATCAGATGATTCGATACATTTTCACAAATCTGGAGGCAGGACAAAGCATTTATATGACCACAGATTAGAAAAAATGTTTTCATTTTGTCTACAGCAACACAACATGAAACGAAATAGCCCAGAAAGAAATACTATCTTTCTGATGCTTGTCCATAGCTCTGTTGACATTTGGCAAATAGGGAGGTTTTTATTACCAGCAGCGACAATGTATCTGCATTGTTTTTGCCACGAGACTCTGCCTTTGCGTCTCTTAATGGCTTAGCAGGATCTGGGAGGCACCTACAGTCGCTGGAACTAACACAAAGGCAGTTTTGAGCAGAATGCTTAGGCTCTTGTTAATTTCTCTTTGTCTGTGGACAGATGATGCTAACATGATCAGCACAGCTATGCGAGACATTCACTGAACTTTACATGTGAGTCCCAACATCCTTCTTCAATCTGTTTGCCAAAGTTAGTAGTGTTATTTTACTGGACTGCCTTCAATGCTCCTGCATATCATGTGCACAGCTGTTTTTTTTGTTTGTTTGTTTTGTTTTTTGTTTTTTTTGGGGGGGGGGAGGGGGCTTAAAAAAGCACATTAAGAGCCAACAAGATTGTCCAATAGTGCTTTGTAAATGCAAAATTTCTTATGCACATATTTCTTCAATTGTTAATTTTTCAAGAAAAACTTACCATCACTTCATAAAACCTCAAACAGGATAAAAGAAGATCCAACAACAAACAACAGCAAATCACTGCTTACACATTAATGCATTAGTTAAACCTATCCATATATATATATATATATATATATATATATATATTTTTTTTACACACACACACACTTTATATACTGTAACACACATTTTTGTATCATGAGTACTTTTACTTGTTATGGAGTACATCTATATTTCAGCTTTTAGTATAATAAGATCTGCTTAATACAGTATATATTTTTTTAATAGTTGCTGAAAAAAATCAAAGAATTTGAAGACATTTTATTGAGAATTTTTTATTCAACTGATGGAAAAATCATTAAAAAAAACTAAGTTAAAATAATTTATTACACTGTGTTTGAAATAAAAAAAACAAGGATCTGCTCTACCTGTGTGTGTGCGTGTGTCTTATATTAACAGGTGGCACTAGAACCTCTAAACATTAATGTTCCAACAATAATAAAACGTTTATTTTCTCCTCTTAAGTTTCTATTTGGGCGGCTTCAAAAATGAGGTTTCATTAATGTTAAGCTAACAGTTTCAGGTGCTCCATTTACACTGGTGTGGGACCGCACCTCCTCCCCCTTTTCTGTATCCCTAATCACACTCTTTTGTGATCCTTTTATAATTAGCCAGTTTACTGGCAGGCAGAATGGAGTGGTGGATGTAAAGCATTTACAAGGGTCCTCGACAGGACACGCCAGCACCTTTTGTATAGCAATTAGTTTGTCTGTGAAAACGGATAAGACAAATAGGCTGGGACGGCATCTGGTATCCTCGTAGCTCTCAGTGCCTGACACAGAGAAAGAAATGGGAACACAGAGCCTGAAAAGGAGGGAAAAAAGAGGTTCAGAGCCAATCAGGAACAATAAGGATTGCACCTCAAGGATTTGCTATGAAGGCTGAAAAGTTTACAGTATGAGGAAACTGATCTGGAAATGAATAAAGCAGCTCTGACAAATATGATGATAAGAGACTCAGAGAGGGCTGTGTAATAGGGACCTACTTTTTGCGCGCTACTGATTAAGAACCGGCTAAGTGTCTGCAGAGATTCCCCTGTGCACAATGCAGCACAGGCAGAGTTTAGTATTCGTCCCAGTAGGGTTTCCTTTAGTACCCAGTCATTTACATTGTAGTTATCCAAAGACAGAAGGAATGAAAGACAGAGTGTCAAGTGCTCTATTGATCCCTTTGGCCTGATTAGCTCACCAGTGTACCGTCAAAGCAAACTAATCAGATACATTGATCATGGAATACTTTTTAATGCTTCCCCAGGCAATAATATGATTTTTCTCAAGTCAAATTACTAGTCAGTTATCTGTTGAGATGTGATACCAGGCATCTGGGGTTTTAACATTTCCTATGAGATGTCAGTTAGAGTCAGTGGCTCCATTTCAAACTCTTAACTGTTTGGCAACAATGTGGCACTGACAATAAAATGCCACTTCATTTCCCGAGGCGTCATAATTTCTGCAAACCTAGTTTTGTCAAGTACCGCTGTCAACAGTGATAATAGGTGTTACTCACTTGTTATATTCTTGCTTCAGCACAGACTCTCTGCTGCGTTCACTTTTGGCCAGAAGAGGTTGCTGTGTTCCCTGCATATAACATGAGGCCTGCACTGGTTCCAGGGTGGGGGGGTTTCTATGTGAGAAAGAGGAAATAACAATGAGGAGCTGATAATAAAAATACTACAACTGAAGAAAATGATCTGCGCTTTGTGCTCCTTGAAACAATGAAGCAGACATGCTGAAAATAAACCAGCAACAAAATATCGAAAGCAAACCCCAGTGTGTTGTAACATGTGAGATAATTGGCGGCAATGGACAACAAATCTCCCCCACCAAAAAGGAAAGTTTTTGTTAATCGCTGTTAGCCTGCAGCCCTCTAACATTGAGTCACCACTAATTGATTATAGATGCCATTTCCATCATTGACAGTAGGGGGCAGGATCCATACATTGATTGCACTTCCATTATGTACAGGCCAAGTAATTGTACTGTGAAGCCTATTAACACACAGAGCTCTGGAAAATATTTTTTTTGTTGAGTCATGCAAATTTATTTGCCTCAACCATTTATTTCACTAAAAAAAAGCAAAAAAAAGCAAAAAAAAAAAAAAAAGGTCAGACTCACAGCGCACAGCTTTTGAAAGAGATCAGAAGGGGGAAGAAAAAATAATTAATCTCATATCTTCAAAGTTAAATCTTCCTTATCCCATTTACACCAATATCTAAACAAGCCCCACGACAGAATCTGAACAGCTGTGAGAGATACGAGTCTCTCTCTGATACCTGTGTTCCCGTGATGCCGGTGATCAAACGCTGTGATAGCATAACATCCCCTCCTGTCTGTCACAGCCTCAGGCTAAACATCAGCAGAGCGCCTTGCAGCTTGCAAATGTTCTCATGACAAAGTTAAAATGTCTCGATTAATATCTGAGCGCTCGGCTGTTTTGTCACTTATCTGTGTCTCTGCTTTAGCTGCTTTTCCAGCTTTGTGCAGTGTTGCTGCATCAGCGGGGGAAAAGATTCAACCAGTGGGAAGACCTAATTCATAAGAACTGAAGAACCCGTCTTTGCTCCTTTGCACCTGTGACGACTTGCTTCATGGTACATTTTGATAAAGATGCTTCTGTAGATATATCCTAAAAATTATGTTGTTGAATTAAGTAAAAAATACATAAATAAATGAGGAGTTTGCTTGACGCTTGCCTAGTACTGTGTCATTTAAATATATTTAACCAGTAATACACAGAAAAATGTAAACCAATCAAAAAATGACGCCCACTTGGCCTTTTGAGGCATTTAAAGGAATCTCAGTTTGTCATCCTTAGGTGTGACATTGCTTTAAGAAAAGGATCAACTGCACTCTTTTGCAAAAAACAAACAATTAAATATTGTTTCAATGTTTTCTCCCATCAGGACAAGCAGGGTGGAGTTCACTACTACCAAGAAGTGAAAGTCCCACCAGCAGTGTTCCTCCATGTTGACACTTAATGTCCTGCCCATCTATCTTTTAACCATATCTCATGCGTGATGGCATGTGACTAAAAAGCTTGCCTAGTCAGACCTAATTAGGCAGCGCCTAATCAGACAAATCCTTGGACAAGCACACAAAGTGGATCGTAGGGAGATGTAGAAACCTTCCCCCGATGGACTCAGTGAAAGTATACCAAAAAATACTTTAGCGATCTGATGGAAAGTCCACTCGTTTAACTGCAAATACGAATGAAATATAAATAAATGTGAAGGGAAGCTGTTCTATTATTCTGTAATCTACTCTCAGAATCTCTGTTTCCACATCTGTTCAATAGCCCCTCCCCTGTTGATCATTTTTACAGTTCTGCATTTTTACTGGACCTCTGAGACCCAAAATCTTGATGTACCTGTAGGAAATTTGATTAACACACTTCAAACTCAGTTGACTGCGCAAGAAAAAAAAGGCTGTACACTGAAGCTTATGGTGCCTATGACATAGGGCAGATGGAGAGCAATGATAAATGAGGAAGAGGGATGGATGTGAGTCAATACTTGCTGTGCAAAAGTTAGTCTGACATGGAGAGGGGGTGCTGTAATCTTAGAGAAGAGGAGAGTACTTCAGAGGATGGGAGAGGACAGGACACCAGATAGGAAAGGACGAGACAGGCAGGAACAGCAGTACAATAATGTCTCTCTTCACTCTGTCGGTCCCTGTGCACTAAAATATTGAAAAGCTTTTGTTTTGCCTAGTTGAACATGCACTGATGTGACACAAACTGTGAACAAAGCCATTTCACACGCATGGGAATCCTCTACTTTTATAATTTATGATGAGGTGAAGACTGCAGCCGCGCCCTAAAGTTTGTTCTCGACATCGTAACAGCCGCTACATCCAAACTTAAAAAAGTTAATTCTGTCAGTTTCTTTGGAGCTTAGCTTTCACTCGTTTAGCTACTGATCACACAAAGCAGCTGGCGGAAAAACCTTGAAAGAAAGATCACATGTCTCTGAACACAACCCAAAGGTTCAATGTCCACAGTTACTTAGGTGTGTTTTCATTCCTGTGTAATCAAACTAATCTCCCCCTTTTAAATAAGAGAGTGACGTTTGTTCCTACCTTGAGCTGGAGGCTAACAGTAAGTCCTAATGTGCAAGTTACTTTAAATTTACTCAAAGTAAATTTAAACAGTAACATCTAAAACCTGTGACGTCAGAATAAAGTAACAGTATAAGTACATATAATAATAATAATAATAATAATAATAATAATAATAATAATAATAATAATAATAATAATAATAATAATAATAATACTGAGTTAACCAATAAAAGAAAAAAATTGCATGCATGCTAATTCCCAAAAGTGTTCATGCACGATGATTCACTATTATTGCCTCTCATAAATAATTTTCCAGGAAATTAAAAAAAAAGATAGCTCTAACATACCTAATAAAAAAAACGGAATGAAATAAAACTGAAAAATGATGGGTGCGTAGAATCACTGCTAACCCTGCCTATTAGAGTGAACACTGCATGCACACAGTGGAAGTCACAGTTTAAATCAAGATGCAGAAAGAGAGAAACCGTGACTTACTCAGGTCTCGGCCTGTGCTCAGTTCAGTGTGCTGGTTATCCAAACCCCAAAGACACGGGGACAGAGATTGAGCAAATACACAGTGATCACCCTACAGTATAAAACACTGTTCAGAACAGAAGGAACCACACACACACGCACACACATACAAAATCTCTCCCACAGTCGTGAGCATGAATTATACATCTCTCTAGAGGATTTGCTTTCTTCCCTCTGTCCCCCTTCTTTCTCTTTTCCTTAACCTCTGTTTTATTTTTTCGTCTTTCTTCCCTGGCTGTATTAATTAACAACAACATGAGGATTAAATTAGTTTAACTTTACAAGTCAGCAAAAAAGGGTTTAAACGAGCTGCTTCCAAGACATACGAGCGGGAGTAACAACAGCGACTGATGAATGCAATTCTACCCTGTCATGGACACCTCTGTCGATATCTACATCATCTCTTCCTTTTCTGTGTCTGCATGTGTAAATGCAACTGAGACCTTTTAATTTTTTTTTTTTTTTTTTACAATGAACGAATGTATCCATACAACTCTACAGCTGAAAATATCCCACTTTGCTGTGGTTAAAAAGAACCAATACGTACTGTATCTGTAAAAGGTTCGTGTTGAAACACTTTAAGTCACTGATGATGAATAAATTATTTCATCCTCACCACGGGGAACCTAATTTCTACTGACATTCAAGGAACACGTTTTCAGAAGATGTAGAGGTATGGGTCAGCAAATTAAACTGCAGCAGTACTTGTGTGTGTGTGTGTGTGTGTGTGTGTGTGTGTGTGTGTGTGTGTGTGTGTGTGTGTGTGTG